TCTCTCTCTCTCTCTCTCTCTCTCTCTCTCTCTCTCTCTCTCTCTCTCTGGTCTCTCCCTGAATTTTGAGTCGGTCTTCCTCCCAGTCTCTCTCGGTACAGCAAAAGGATAGCACCCATGAACTACAGCGTGGCCGATGCGATTGCTGCCATGGGAGGAGATGCCACGTCGGGCCGGACGGGCGACATTTCAGCGATTCTGCCATACGGCATCGCCCCAGGAGCGAAAGCGATCATGCGGAACGAAAAAAAGGCCGCGAAGGAGGTAATATCCTCAGCTGAGCCGATTGTGCACATCTCATGATGAGTATATTTAGGCTGCAATTGCTGCTTTGTGCCCTGCTGCACCCACAAGCACTCGTTCAAACGCGCCATGCCCTGAACCTTGGTTCGCCGAAGACAACAGACCTTACAAACGATACAGCCGAGATAAGGGATACTGGTCGGTAGCCTCTATCTCCTTCATGGTTTGTTTCATCAAACCCACCCATCGTCTTGTCTGATAGTGAGCAGCTCCATCTTGACGTGGTCTGAAGGAAGGACACTTCGCTCAGTACAGCAGTGTAGGACACGGTTTAGCCAGGGACGAAGAAAAGTGATACCACGTAGTCTAGAGGTTACAGCCAGATATCCCCCAAACAAAGTCCATGCTCTCTCCTGCTAGCGGTGCCAGTCAGTGAGATGGTGCTCCCGAGCGGAACCCAGGTCCACGTCCTCCTGCTTGGCCGCTGTAGCACCGTCGACAGGTTGTGGGAGCTGCTGACGAAAGCCCAAAAGAGTATAGTCTAGACGTAAAGGGGGGTATACCAAATAGTATTGCAGCGATGATCCTGAAGTGCCACCACTGCGGTGTCGTGATGTTCGCTCGGCCGGAGTTTGGTATCGAATACAGTCCGTCTCGCCAATCTACAGGCGATTTCAAGTGGGCACTACGTCACTTGGAGGTCAATGAAGACGGGCCAGGATTGTGCGAGGGTGGGCAGTTTGTGAGTCTCAACCAAGCTGTGGATCAAAAATACCCAGTCTTGCAAAGCGGGCAAGGCATGACTTTTTTGCAGACCATGGGTAGTCTAGACTTCAGGGCCACGTTGTCAGCATGCATGCTGTCCAAACACGAAAAAGTGCTTCAATTCGTCTTGTGTAACTCTTTTTGAAGCGGTGCCCTATCGTGTATAGCTGTATGTGGCGTGCGTGTACCGGAAGTACTTAAATTTCGTATCGTACCCGATAGATAGAGTGCGGGCGAACCCTGGATAGATCGTCGCACATCACAATAGGCTACTGTGATGTGTGTGGAATGAGATCCTGGTAAGCACCTACATATGCGCCTTCGATTAATTTTATACGCGCACCTGCGCATACGTTCACAAGACTTGAACGTTCTCTTCGTCTGAACACCAGGAGCCGTTGCTTTTGCGGGTGCTCGTACAAGATGCACGTCTTTCGGAGAGGAAGCACGTGAGCACGTTGAGGTTACTTACGTCCACGCCATAAAAAAAAAAGAAGACCCTCTTGAGGTAGAGAGCACATGCATCAAGTTGACCCCCTAGCCAATCGGCCCTTACTGGAAACTGCACACTCTAGTTGACATCTCGCGCACAGCAGTACACAGAACACATCGAGCACGCGCAATGCGTTGTGTGTGTTCACGACCGACTTACTGTCACCCTCCGCTTGCTGTACGACGGGTAAGCAGCTACAGCTTGAGTAAGCAACATGGTCTCCCCGTGTGTTCGGACAATAAATCGCAAGCTCTGTCTTGAACGTATCTACATTGTGGAGGCCGCCCTTCCGTGATCTTTTGCTAAGAGTCAGGTATGGTAGTCCACAGCAGCCAACAGAGTGAAACGGCACGATGTAGGACACGGCTCTCCAAGAGGTAGTCAACGCCACCCTTAAGCGCAGCTGTGTTTCCTTCCTACATCGAGACTTGGAAAACGGTCGGGGGGAGACCAAGCTATTGTATCTCGGAACATACGACATTCTACCAGCGGGTGAGAGCCTTGATGTACGCTGGGTTGGGGTACGGACCCATTAAACTTATTCTCGATTCACGCCATCAAACAAAACACTCACAACCAAGGCATCAAGACCGTGGCCATGAAAGTTCTGATTCAACTGCCAACCCGAGGACTTGCCCGAAAAAAGGTTGCCGGTTTGCAAGATCTGCGAATGCCAAGGTTTCGACTTCGTCCCGTCTAGACCGGAAGAGATCGGAGAATGGTGGCTACCGAGAAGGCCCGGCTTTGATGCTTCCTTGTGGAGAGCCAAATGCCGTTGTGGGTGAGCCAAATATAGTTCAAAGGCGCGACAATAACCTAGTGCTTGGTGTCCCAGGCAAGCTTTACCCTGTATAGCTTTGGCGAGGCCAAGAGCGAAAATGACAAATATGGCATCGAGACTAAATATACATTTTGCCTTCCAACTGTACCCAGAAACCTTTAATAACGCGCACGACACGGAAGAGTCCGAATCGAGCATGCTCTTATCGACATGTGTAGATGAGCTTATTACCGTCACTGCTGTAACAGGCACACTCATGAGGCGCACCATCCAGTGCGACGCAGCTGCGGGTCCTGCAAGTGCGGAGAGTTCTACTCTGCCTACGGCTGCGTCGTGTGCGAGGGTCGGCAGGTGCGCAAGGGCAGTGGAGTTCGCTGAAGCCATAGAAGATTACGACCTGGTTCCCTCGCTCACATCATAGACTACTGCTGTTCAGCTGACTGATGATTCATACGCCCACCGAACCGTGTCATGCGCCACTGATCCCGGGCTTGTGATACTTCTCAATCGTCCACGGGTTTTGGCCTGAAAACGTGCCACGAAAGGTCAGGGCAACAGGGTACTTCGTATGAACGGTGCTAACGATAACGAACGTTGATATATGTATGGCTGATCAGGGGGACGCTGGGTGTATTCGAAAACACATAGAACACCCTGTGATGGCCACACCTCTCACAGCACCATGGTCCACAAAAAGGTGCGGCGTAATAAGCAAGGCATCAACATGATGACAGGATCTCAGCTCAGTGACACCGAGGAGAGTGTTCAATCCCATGAGGGCATATGCAACCACAAAACCCCGTGTCCTTTGGATACCCGATTGCCCTCCCTCTGCCCATTTCTCTCGTCCAGGAAGATCACGAGACGCAAGTTGAGACGGCAGAGCAGAGGGTCTCTGAGGGCCGTCCGGTTGGACGAGATTACATCCCACTATCGCAGAGTCCTCAGCTCAGCGAGATGACCTTTGGGCGAAGAAACAGGAAGTCCTCCGCCAGTCTACAAGCCTCCACGCCGACTGCAACCGGAGCGGCGACGGATGGAGATGACGGTGTCAGCCAAGACAACTCGGGAAAGGGACCCCCTTCGTCGTCGTTGCCGTCAGTGACGATGCATGGACAAGGGCGTAGGCATTTCGAATCAAGCAGCCTCGCCGTAGTTGCAGCGGGAGCAGGAGCAGGCACTACCGCGAGGAGAGCATCTTCCGGCGCGCCATCATCAGCTGCTGCACGGCAAGCAACTATGATATCTCCGGGTCAGGGAGAACGGCCGAAACAACGGCATTTGGCGGGAGGAGCTTTGTCCAGCCGAGGGGCAGCGGGACGCGGCGAGTACGACCCCACGAGAAGCAGTGACGACTACAGCAGTAGCGGCAAGAATATCGCGTCTGCTAGCCCAGAATTGCTTTACGCTTCTGGCAGAATCACGGCCGCCAGGTACCACGAGATATTGCAGGAGATGGACACGTCGGGTAGCCGTCCCGATTTAGCGGGTGGCCCAGGGGCTCGGACCAGCAGCCGTCACGGGGCTGCTGCTACTGTAACCTTTCGCGGTGTTGGGGATGCGCGTAGACGATCGCACCCTGAACACAAAGGCTCGTAAGGTAGATATCTGCGTGTTGGGGTGGGACCCACTCTTAATAACCAGGAGAGCACAGAGCGACATTCCTCCGCATGATGATTTCCCGCTTGCGACTTCGAACAATGCAAAGTACACTCCCTTTCCCCTCTCTCCCAGGGAGCGAGAGAAAGAAAGCGTGAAAATACTCTTGTTGAAAGAAATCGTCCACAAACATCTGAAGCGTGGCAGATTTTCGGCGGGAGCGGGGAAGACTTAGATTGAAATTGATCGAACATGCGCCTTGTCAACAAATAAGACTAAGTCACGAGTATCACCCTGGCCCAACGAGCAAACAACGCGGGTGCGAAAAAACAAATCTGGGCGCACTGTGTCCCGCGCTTCATTAACGGGTATTGGCCGCGTTCGCTAACTGGCCAGCGGAGAGAGCTTTGTGTGGGCGCGTATTGACACACGCCATACTGCTTTACCACAGAGAAACACAAGCACCACAAGTCGCACCCGAGATCCACATAAGTATGCAGAGAGTGATGTACAGCACTGGGACCCCCGGTTTTGTGCCAGTCGAACTGTGTGTGCTGTCGGCAAAAAGTATAGCACAAAAGATCAAACGTGTGGATTGGCCGCACCGCCTCTTGACGTCTCTAGTACATGTACAAACACGCCGTGCGCCAGGAAGGGTATGCGAGTCTTCTTGAACCGTCGACCCCGCTTTGAAGACACACCACGTTTTCCCCCAAAAATGTGTCTTTAACGCGGGGAAGTGTCTTCAAAATTCCGGGGTCACTAATGCACCATCCCCGGGGCCAATGAAGGCGAAACATATGTCAAAAGGTGCGCATTCGCAGCAGAAAGGCGACCACAAGAGGTGTTGTTTGAAACCTACGACACAAGGTGATTTGAAGGTCGCATCCACTGCTGCTATTGTGCTGCAATACATAATTGCATGCCATCGTTTGAATTTCCCCGCACTGTACCATCAAAACGCTGAAAGCGATGGTGTTCTACGACCTACGCATCGTACATGTACAGGGCGGTAGTGCGCTGGTGTTGATATGGGCTTCAGTATTTGCTTTATGTTATTTTTTAGGCGTTGTCCTTCCCGTGAATATCTTGCCCAAGATCTCGCATCCGCACCTGAGAAATATCGAAGGTTAAACGACACTAGGAAAATGTAGGTTACGCAGAAACAGACCAAAAATGTCGGGACAGCACAGCGACAAAGAGGACACCACGCCTCCCAAAAGGTCAAAACGAGGCACAACACAACACAAACGCCTAATCCAACCTCACGAGACTTCACCCGACGCAAACAACGAACGTTGGCAAAAAAGTGCTTTGCTCTCGAAACCAAAAACTACACCGGCCACATATCCCGAAGAGTCGCCTGCACCTCCCCCCCCTCCTTTGCTCTTCGCTTGACCTGAGTTTCATGAGTAAACGAATGCACAGTCTTCGAAAGAAGGTACGCCGTTTCGCTGTACTCGCAGTCTCTTCCATGTGTATACAAGTAAGAGCGGACATCTTCGAGACGAGAGCGAACTACAGGTGCTGCAGCACATTTTCTGGGGGAGGGTCGAAAGGTGGAAAACCCTACCCCCCCCTACTTTTTCACATCTGTGGGGCACCACGTTTCTGAGATTTGTTGTGACTTAAAGCGGGGAGTGTCTTTAAAAATGATGTCTTTAAAGCGGGGACGACTGTACTTGGATGTGGAATGCGTTACGAAATAATACTCACCCCCAGAGAGGCTAGGTGGGATGTTTTGAACGCGCAGCTCATGTGATACACGTACCCTGCCGCGGCCCGGGTCTACGATAAGAACACGGATTCTACACCGCAGATGAGTCAAGCTCGCTTCCCTTGGCCTGCACACGTTGCAATCTACCTGAGACTTGAAGGACACTTGTGGGGTACTACTGTCACAAAGCAAGGCACCACGGACATAAATACCGTATTTAGAAGTGGCTAGTCCTGACAGAGCTGCTGGGGCCGTCCGGCTGGTAAGCACAGAGAAGGCGGGTCGGAGGCCAAGGAGAGCACCGACCTAAACACGCAACAAATCACTTACTTCGAATATCTCCGTAACGTGGTGCGTTGCTTCTTCATCGATCATGTTTCGACTGTAGGGCCTGTCCCCCCAAAGACTCAATCCACACGAGCAAAATCCAAAATTCATCAGGCAGTTGCATCGTTTGGTTGTTGGCCCAGTAGGTCACCGCCCACACGTACCAGACAAGTCGGGCAAGGCTGTTCACGATCACGCGCAACACACCTCAGTAGGGACTACCAGCCGTACTTGGCGTGGGTCTGAGCCTTAGTTAATCTCGACGCGCCGCTACGCTCCATCAAATCGCGCTCCATGCTGGCCGCCTGCGCCGCCAGCTGGTTGATCTGGTGCTTGCGTTTCTGCATCGACGTCGGCTCCAGAGTTTTCTGGGTTCACCAGTCGCAGATGTCGGAGATAAAACGCAGCGATACATAATAAGTCAGTCGAAAGATGAAAGCTAGAGGACGATGTCGACTTGCGGTGCTCCGTATTCATTTAGATTCCAAGTCTCTTGACATCCAACACCAAATACTTTTTGAGAGCGACGTAAGACCTTGGCCGGGGTCGGATGTGCCGCGTCGGAATTGGGAATGGTGCAACACGCAACGTGTTGGATCTGTGTGACTGCCTGCCCCCCTCCCCCCCCCCCCCCCCCCCCCCCCCCCCCCCCCCCCCCCCCCCCCCCCCCCCCCCCCCCCCCCCCCCCCCCCCCCCCCCCCCCCCCCCCCCCC